AGTTATACAGTTTTAACTATTCAAGTTGACTTTTTGGTGATTCTTATATACAAACAAACTTATAATTTTATAACCTCAAAAAAGGCATGGTTACACACCCACCTTGTGGCCCCCCAGTTTAGGAACCAGACTTAGAATATGTGTTGTGGGTCAGTCTCAGTTACTACTACACCAAACCTTAGCTCAGTATCTGTAAAGTTAGCAGAGTTTTGTGTCATTTTTGTGTTTTTAAGGTCAATTAGCTGTAGCAGCCATCTTGAATCAGGCTGACTCTAAAAGTTAATCATTTGTTTATGTGCTTCCAATGAATACTTCTATCATGTCTCATTAAACACGAGACACACAAACACACGCAAAAAAAAAAAAAATCATCTGCCTTTGCCTTTGGGCAGCAAACGATAAAAACGAACATTCAAAATACAAATCTTTCAATAACATTTTTTAGTCAGCGTGCTGAGATTTTAGTTATGAGGTAATAAGATCTTATAAACTTTAAATAGCCTTTTAAAATATTCAGGAAGCAGCTACGAGTTTGATTATCTGACTCCTCTGCTGCAGGAAGACTGTTCTGCCTTTTCAGCAGAGTTTAGTTTCATTAATCCTTTTATTCAACAACAGACTGATTATTCCAACTGCTGAAGGCTTTCATCTACCAACTGTTGGCTGATTAGTGTCTTAATAAATGGTTGAATCGACACTGCATTGTTCCGTGTGTCACTTACCCTGGTCACACAGCAGACCCTGCCTCCCGTAAGGGCAGAGACAAACAGCCTCCAGCGGTGACTTTGGGATGCACGTGGCTCCATGACTGCAGGGGCTGCGCTCACAGGCGCTGAGCTGACACAGTCGGCCGGTGTAAAGAGGAGGGCACTCACAGAACCAGTCCTCAGCATCACTGAAAGTGAAGGAAAACATCATCAGGAACACACAGACAAAGAGAGAAAGAGAGAGAGAGAGAGAGAGAGAGAGAGAGAGACAACAACCCACTAAGAAATGCACAATTTGGAAATACGTTCAAACTAACCTTCGCCTCCAGCAGCCGGCAACAACAAGTGATAGATGAGCTCTCCTGAAACAACCTGAGCGTCTGAACAGATAGTGCTGGAAAACTATGAATCCTGTTATACCTTTCATCATCTCAGTAGTTACAGCAGATAAACAGTCACACCTTGAATAATAACAGCAGGAGGCAAATTATTAGCAGCCTGCCTGAGAATGTAAAAAGAAAACTGAATAAATGCAACACTTAATTTAGTTTTTTTTTTTGATCTTTCTGTTTGTACGTCCTTTCTTGGCAAAAACAGAAGACGATCTAATGTGATACTCAGATAAGGACTTTATAGAGGGTTTCTCTGAAAAGTAAAACACAAACCAGTGGGAGAAGAGTAGCGGGGGTGTGATGGGGGTGGCTGAGGCTTATAAATGAATAATGGATTTTGAACAGCAGCAGGGAGGGAAGGAGATTTGCTTCTTGAGACAATGACTTCTACAAATAAAATATTTACGTTCTGCCATCAAAGTTGAGCATTGTTTGAGATGAAGGGTTCCTGCTAAGATACAAAAAGATGTTGTGTCATGCAGAAATGTGGAAAGTGATGTCATAGTGTGTATGTTTAACTACTGACAAATGGCTCTATTTTAAGCTACCTTGTAACACAGTGAGACACAGAAACTGTTCCTGCTTTGTATCTGTGTAATATCTCAGGAACAAATGGACATGTTTTAAAACTTACAGAAAGTTAATCATTAGATTTACAACAGATGATCTCATTTCTGAAWTAAATCAGTTTAAGATCACCAAAGCTAATCAAAATGAACAAACATAAAAATGTCGGTAACTAATTTAATTTGAAGTAATTGAGCTAAACTCTTAAAAGAGACATAACGCTTTTAAATTTTTTTTCACGTTTAAATCATTTAGTTGGGGTCTATWTAAAATGGAACTGTGAGATTTTGGTCAGAATTCCTCCTTATTGTAACTCCACAAGCCCCTCTTTCACATCATTTCTGAGGTGTGTCTCAGATCAACTCGTTTGGAGGCTGTTTCTTTAAATCCAAATGAGGCGCTTCACACCCCGCCCCCCTCCAGCTTCCAGAGTGGTCCATTCTAGTTTGATGGAAGGGTTTACGACTATATAGCTGCGCAGAAACATTTTATTTAAAAATAATTAAACGTTAACAAGGGAAGACTTGTCCATCCAGCATTGTAGTTGGTAAGTCTAGACCTTWTTTGGCATTTTGTCCCAAACACTGACATATTAGTTAAAAAACATAGTAGAAAAYTAAAGAAAACTGAAAAAAACACGAGTCAAACAGAATATAAAGATATCTACGTATCGCCTGGAGAGACTAAACTAAACTTTTCTGCTCTCCTAATGCAACAAAATGCATTTATTGGCTAAAAATTGGATTTGCATGACATGCTCCTTTTAACTGGTAGTTGCTGAGAGTCAATCACAATATAACCTGAGTGTTAAATAATTTAAATGACTTTATTTTCAAGGTTTGATCAAAACTGCTTCAGCTTCATCATTTCTCAACAAACAACTTTCACAGTTTAAAACTCACATGAAATGAAACGACACGCATTCCTTCAATATCTTGAATTTTTTTTTACATCAGATTCCAAAGGAGGAGAATTTTATGTATGTAACACAACAGGCAGCTGATTTGATAGACTTTAACAAGATGAAAGAGTTGTGATAATTTGTACCTCCTTAAGTTGTTCCCTTGAAACAGTCAAATCACTGTATTATTCAAGTTACTGGTAGTTGAAACTGCAAATCATTTTTACTTGTGTGAATCATAGATGAACAGATTAATAGAATCAATCAGTTCAGTTTGGTACAAGAACAATGAATATTTATYACTGACACTGTGCAGTTTTTGAACTTGTACCACAGTTTGTTTCTTTCCATCTGTTTCAACTCATTTTGAGCTTTATGGTTTTAATAAAAAAACACATCTTGCTTTATATTCTTAATATGTTGATAATGTCCTATAAGAGTTGGTGATAGGTGCTATTTACCTTCCCAAATTATACTCTAAATTGTTTAAATAAACTCTTTAATTCTGAACACATTCCAAAACCTTAACATGACTGTTGATCCATTTACATTTGGGGCAGTATAATTAAATTAGATGGTGTTTACAAATCAATTTGCACCCATTGGCCACTTTTCAACAAATGGGTTTTTGTGGCTTAGTTAAGGATTAAGCCTAAAATTCATTCACACCCATGCCAATGTTATTGTTTCTTACAGTTTTTCTTAAATCGATTGGTTTCAAAACAGCATGAAGAAGTGGCAAAACGGCGTTTGTGTGACAGTGTGTTCCATGACAAGGATAAATGGACCATTTTGTTTTTTTATTTACATTTTTATGACAAATTTATGAGTCACACATGCTAATTCTCAGAGAGCTCTTTRATTAGTAATCACAGAAATCAGATGGTTCCTATAACAGCGAACAAAATCTGCAGGCCTCCTCTGGGACTCCTCCCCCTCTGTCTCTCATGTTCGCAAGCTTCCTTGCCATCACTTTGGTCTTTTGCTTTCCTTCTACGTTTTTTTTTTTTTTCATTTTTCAGTGAAAGTAAAAGGCATCCTATGAAATGAAGATGACATTAAGAGTCTCAAGGAAGAAACTGGGCAAATCTACAGAAAAACATTAAAACGGGCCAAGTAAACCTTCCAACGAGACAAAAATTGAAAGTACACAGAAAACTGAAAGAGCATAAAACCAAACATTAGCTGTCTATGGTGATCCAACAAAAGAATAAAGTACAAGAGAATAAACAACGTGTGAGAAAACTAAATTGGTTGTAAGGAGGTTCTTTAAACATAAAGAAACATGAAGCTAAAGTTGGAGTTTTGAGGTATTTTGGCTCAATGAATGTGCAAACACCATCACAACATGGAAAATCAGCAAGGATGGTGTTGATACCACAGGTCTAATCAAAATCAGTTCTTATTTAGTYAAAAATATAGAAATGTTAAAGAATTCATACTGTAGAAATAAAGACTTATAGGTGGTAGGAGCAATAAATTAAAAGTCAGACCCTGAAGAAACATACATTAAACACTAACGTTTTATGGCAGAGATTTAAATTAAGACCAACTTATGTTGTAGTTACATTGAGTTATAGCTGTTTATGACTTACTTTATAACTTATTTCATGCAATATTACATATAATAAAAGTTTATTTTGTGAATTTAACTAGACTCAAGCACGTGTTGATTTGAAAAATTTTGCACATTTGTGTTTCAGGTGTATTTTTGTAGCATTTAATGCTCTCCTAACATTATTTCAAATGCCGCTCTAAAGTTGTTAAACCAAGTTTTAAATTTAATTTGCAAACAAACAGGGATAAAATGGAAAAAATAAAAAAAATAAAACAGAATAATGGCTTCCTTGCAAATGTCTTCTGTTTTATTTTCTCTGTCACAACAGCTTTAGCTAAAAAAAACTTTTTAATTGTATAGGGATCTTAATCTCTTTAAACATTTTATATGCTAGATGTGGTAAAGAAGCAATTTGGAGAAGACAGCCTGAAGCTGCAATTGTATTACAAACCAGCAGGAAATATTTTATAGCTCACTGATTTTATTAAAGAAGACAATTACAGTTTCTTCTGATTCCTCAAACGTCAACAAAAACAAGCTTCCGAGTAATCACTCTGTCCTTTAAAAGCATCTCTCCCTGCCAAGATGCTTATCACTAAAACACAAAAAGGTTAAGATTGTTTCTAACTCTAAGAGAGAGAAAAAAAGAGGTAAAAACATCAATTATCACCTGTCGTGCACATATGTCTTCTTTCTTTTTAAAAATTATTTTTCTAAGAAAATTGACTGTCAAAGACGAGATAATTTTAAGTGATGAWTTATGTTCTTGAATATTACCAGTTCTGAGATTAAACTTACAGAATACATTGCCATGGGGATAGCTAACCCAGAGCTGAACGTGCTGTTGCTTATTAAAGTCAAATAGACATACCACCATTACATTTTTGGCAAATGCCAATCAGCTGGAAGTATTATTGGCTGAAAAAGGTGCTATAAATCCAAAATGGGCATTTTAGTATAACGACCACTAACATAAAACACTGAGCATAAAAACAATTCGTTGACTAAACCTAAAAATATCTTGCAGTAAAGAATCTTGCTAAAAGGAATGACTTTTTAAATCTGAAACTAGGTCTGTTGGTTGTGGCAGCCATCTTGAATTGTCTTGATTCTAAAAGATCARGAGATATTTTGCMAACATGCATGTGCRCACACAGACACYGTGAGGAAAAACCACTCTTTTGCCTTTTGGCACCAGGCAGGGAACACTACTCTACCACATCTAACCCCAGGGAAAGGTAKGCCATTAAAACAAAGTGAGTTGGGCAGAGGAAACCAGCAGCAGATGTTTCTGGCTCCTGAAAGGTGCGGCGTAGATGTGGAGGATCAGGGGGAAGCAACACGATCGAAAACACTCGAGTTTTAATTGGCCTAATCAAAAACTTGATGTGTGGGGTGACAAAAGGTTATTTTAATTTGCCTGAGGTAATCACTTTGATAACATAATTGTAGGAGCAAAACTGTAGTTTGCAGACTAATTTAAATATGTTAATCACAAATGCAGAAAGCCGCTGCCCGTCACGTCTCACGCCATTCAGAACCACACAGAAGCTGGATAAATTATTGAAGACGATATGCATGTTTAATCTAATAAGTACCAGATAAAATGGTGAATTATCGACCGGTCAGCTTATAATACCCCTGTTAACCAGAACAATATGCTTTGCAGCCGCGTGCACTCTCAGATTTCATACATGTAAAGTTATTTACAGATCAGTCCTTTTTAAGTGCTCATTGGCAAACCTCTGCAGTGATGTCGCTTTACTGCCA